ATCATTAATTTAAGCAGGACATATTGTTTAACTTCTTAATCATTTGCTCTTTATCCTTAGGAAGAACAAACACCGTAGTCTTAAATCCATTATCATGAAAACTGCATAAAGCATTTAAAGAATGAGATAAAAGGCCATTACTAAGCACAGAGTGCATGATAAAAATACCTACTAAAGAGCTTAAACCTTAAAATTTATCTAATCATGTTTTATACACACCTCAGTGTTTTATGGAAACCACATTTAAAAAAACGTGAATAGATCAGGAGCAACCAATTGACAGGACAAAAGCTGCACTAACTTTCAAACAAGGCATGAAGATTAACATGGTAACATCTAGTTCTTAAACGCTAAATTTCACTTTAAATTGCATCTACTGTGATAAGTGAACCCAATAGAGATTCAATTTTTGCACTTCAGTAACAACTGAGGAATAATGACAAGTACAAAGTGATTGAGCCAAAGGAAAGGATAAAATTAAGAACTTTCAATCCTCCTCAGCTTTAGTAGTGATAACATTTAATTCTGAAAATTGAATCAGAGATATTGCACATAGAAGTTTGCCAAATCTTTACAGAGTGTATGTATCACAAAAATACCCACAAGCATGTGTGGATACTGTGGGAAGGAAGAGTACAGTGTCAGTTGTGAATAACATTCTTACATTTGAAGATGAAAATCAGATCTGGTTTATTCCCCAGAAGGATTACCTTGGAAGAAAACTCCTAACTGAGGATTTATTTTTGATCAAGTTGCTATAGCCAAAAGCTTTCTTATCTGAATTATCCCAAAACACACAATTATTAAGGGCTGAAATAACAGCTTTTGTATGATATAATCATAGGTTTTGATTACTTCTAGTAATTTTGAAAATTAGTACCAAGGATGCCCTTGTCCTCTTAAAATGCTCTCTAAGAGATACAAGAGGGACCCGGACGTTTGTTTTCTGAAGTGCTATTACTATTGCTGAAGACTAGATGTTTGAAATGAGAACAAAAGTGCAACTGCATGGAAAGATGTTATCAAGTGCAAGACACAGTCTTCAGTCAGGTGGTGGGCTACAAAAAGATAACCCGAATAAACACATCTTGAAAACGTATCTGGTGCATAATCATCTTCTCTCACTTTACAAACTACCAGTAAATATTTTTTCTTCTACTCCAGAGGATAAACGTCAGTGTCCCATTTTCTAAGCATTTTCCATGTTCCATGGAGTAAAAAGCGTCTTTTGAATACAACCTCTGAAAACGTTGTGTATTAGATGGTGCAGCGAATTATCCATAGCACAGAACTATGAAGTTCTAAACTCCAAAGTTTTTAAGCCATTTTTCTCTTGGTAAGCTTCGGTTTAAGGAAAATGCAGATAGCATTTCAGAAAGAAAATCTTTTTTTGATATATAATATCAATACTTTTAGCAAGAGCTAGTGCCATTTGGCACTGAAATACTCTTATTTTACACTTAGCATAGATTAAAATTAAAATCCTATTAGAAAGACATAACAGCTAAGATTCAACTTAGCTGTTTTACCTAAGCACAAATAGAAAATTAGTATAGTCTTGAATTTTAGATTTGTAGGACTGTTTTTGATTTACAAAATGACAAATAAAAGACCTGGAAAGGATGGTTGAGATATTGTTTATTGACAAAATTCAGTATTAAAAAAATCAAACACTAGTGAATTTAACCTACATGTGCTAACACGCCAAAGTAATCAGTTGTTGTCTTAAAAGCAATTCAACAAAGTCATCAATCCTACTACTTCAAGTGAGAAGTAGTAGGAAAAGAGAAAAGTTCTCTCTCAAAGAGAACTTTGAGAATCCTTTTCAAAATGAGAAGGATGAATAAGAGTAGGGACTAGTTTATTTATTTTCCAAGTGGGACCTTGCCTTCACCTGATACTCCAGGCTGAACCATGTTTTGAAATTTAAAAAATCCTATTTCCTTACACTGTCACTGAAAAGTATAGTTAAGTAGACTTAAAAAGGCATGGGGACAGAATCATTTTTATGGCTGATGAGGTTAATAACACCAACACGATTAAAACATCAGGTCAAACGTCTCCTGAACCCTGCCACTTTTAGTTAATTAAATTATCTTCAGGAAATTTTACATGGCTTAAAAGACAAATGCAAGCCACGAACCCAAAAAATGACTCTACTAGGAATGACATTAGATCAAGTACAGTTTAAAAGATTACGTTCTGTACTGAACAACTTCACGCTTCCAAAGCCCACTCCAATTTGGAAGGAGCAGTGTCATATTTGCACAGCAGGGACAAAGCAAGCACTGCCAGAAAGAAGATATCCTCATTCTCAAAGGGTGAAGAATAAAGGTCAGGAAGTGTCAGCGAGATGCCAACAAGCTCCATGTGGAACTAATGAACCTGAAACAACCTCTCCTCAACTTCAGGTTTTGAAAGTAACTTGTTAGCGTAGGAGGTATAGTTCTCACAGAGACAAAACACAATACTGGGAATCACAGGATAGCTAAAACTGGAAGATACCTCTGGATGTCATCTAGCCCAATCCCTCTGCTTAAGCAGGGTCACCTACAGCAGGCTGCCCAGTACAGTGTCCACATGGCTTTTTAATATCTACAAGGACGGAAACTCCACCACCTCTGTGGACAACCTGTGCCAGTGCTCAGTCACCCTCACAGCAAAAAAGTGTTTCCTTGTTTTCAGACAGAACTTCTTGTATTTCACTACGTACCCATTGCCTCTGGTCCTGCCACTGCACACCACTAAGAGGAGCCTGACTCCACCTTCTTTAAAACCTCCCTTCAAGTACTTGCATACATTGATAAGATCCCCCTGAGCCTTCTCCTCTCTAGGCTAAACAGTCCCAGCTCTCCCAGCCTTTCCTCATCTGTCAGAAGCTTCAATCCCTTCAGCATCTTCCAGTAGCTCCACCTCTCTCTTGTACTGGTGAGCCCAGGTGTTCCATCACCTTTCTCCGGGATCGAGGCAAGGCCAACTGGCCTGTAGCTAGCTAGTTCTCCAAGTCCTCTTTCTTATCCTTTTTGAAGACAGGAGAGACACTTGCTTTTCTCCAGTCTTCAGGCACTTCTACTAATCACCAGTTATTCAAAAAGCATCAAGAGTGGCTTCACAATGACATCTGCCAGCTCCTACAACACTCATGGGGATATCCTATCAAGGACCATGGACTTATGCATGTCCAGTTTGCTTAAGTATTCTCTAATTTAATCTTTTTCCCCAAAGGGTATGTCTTCCTTGCTCCAGACTTTCCCCTGGTCTCCAGGGCCTGAGATTACACAGAATGTTAGGGATTGGAAGGGACCTCAAAGGATCATCTAGTCCAATCCCCCTGCCAGAGCAGGACCACCTAGATCAGATCATACAAGAACGCGTCCAGGCGGGTTTTGAACATCTCCAGAGAAGGAGACTCCACAACCTCTCTGGGCAGCCTGTTCCAGTGTTCTGTTACCCTTACTGGGAAGAAATTCTTCCTCATGTTTAAGTGGAACCTCCTGTGTTCCAGCTTATATCCATTTCCCCTTGTCCTGTCATTGGATGCCAGTGAGAGGAGCCTGGCTCCATCCTCATGACAGTCACCCTTTACATATTTATAAACATTAATGAGGTCCCCCCTCAGTCTCCTCTTCTCCAAGCTAAAGAGACCCAGCTCCCTCAGCCTTTCCTCATAAGGGAGATGCTCCACTCCCTTCATCATCTTTGTGGCCCTGCGCTGGACTCTGTCAAGCAGTTCCCTGTCCTTCTTGAACTGAGGGGCCCAGAACTGGACACAATATTCCAGATGCGGCCTCACCAGGGTGGAGTAGAGGGGGAGGAGAACCTCTCTCGACCTACTAACCACACCCCTTCTCATACACCCCAGGATGCCATTGGCCTTCTTGGCCACAAGGGCACATTGCTGACTCCTGGTCAACCTGCTGTCCACCAGGAACCCCAGGTCCCTTTTCCCTGTGCTGTTCCCCAACAGTTCAGTCCCCAACTTGTACTGGTACATGGGGTTGTTC